AGCCTGAAAGCCAGATGTTGGAAGCCTGAAAGCCAGATGTTGGAAGCCTGAAAGCCAGATGTTGGAAGCCTGAAAGCCAGATGTTGGAAGCCTGAAAGCCAGATGTTGGAAGCCTGAAAGCCAGATGTTGGAAGCCTGAAAGCCAGATGTTGGAAGCCTGAAAGCCAGATGTTGGAAGCCTGAAAGCCAGATGTTGGAAGCCTGAAAGCCAGATGTTGGAAGCCTGAAAGCCAGATGTTGGAAGCCTGAAAGCCAGATGTTGGAAGCCTGAAAGCCAGATGTTGGAAGCCTGAAAGCCAGATGTTGGAAGCCTGAAAGCCAGATGTTGGAAGCCTGAAAGCCAGATGTTGGAAGCCTGAAAGCCAGATGTTGGAAGCCTGAAAGCCAGATGTTGGAAGCCTGAAAGCCAGATGTTGGAAGCCTGAAAGCCAGATGTTGGAAGCCTGAAAGCCAGATGTTGGAAGCCTGAAAGCCAGATGTTGGAAGCCTGAAAGCCAGATGTTGGAAGCCTGAAAGCCAGATGTTGGAAGCCTGAAAGCCAGATGTTGGAAGCCTGAAAGCCAGATGTTGGAAGCCTGAAAGCCAGATGTTGGAAGCCTGAAAGCCAGATGTTGGAAGCCTGAAAGCCAGATGTTGGAAGCCTGAAAGCCAGATGTTGGAAGCCTGAAAGCCAGATGTTGGAAGCCTGAAAGCCAGATGTTGGAAGCCTGAAAGCCAGATGTTGGAAGCCTGAAAGCCAGATGTTGGAAGCCTGAAAGCCAGATGTTGGAAGCCTGAAAGCCAGATGTTGGAAGCCTGAAAGCCAGATGTTGGAAGCCTGAAAGCCAGATGTTGGAAGCCTGAAAGCCAGATGTTGGAAGCCTGAAAGCCAGATGTTGGAAGCCTGAAAGCCAGATGTTGGAAGCCTGAAAGCCAGATGTTGGAAGCCTGAAAGCCAGATGTTGGAAGCCTGAAAGCCAGATGTTGGAAGCCTGAAAGCCAGATGTTGGAAGCCTGAAAGCCAGATGTTGGAAGCCTGAAAGCCAGATGTTGGAAGCCTGAAAGCCAGATGTTGGAAGCCTGAAAGCCAGATGTTGGAAGCCTGAAAGCCAGATGTTGGAAGCCTGAAAGCCAGATGTTGGAAGCCTGAAAGCCAGATGTTGGAAGCCTGAAAGCCAGATGTTGGAAGCCTGAAGCCTGAAAGCCAGATGTTGGAAGCCTGAAAGCCAGATGTTGGAAGCCTGAAAGCCAGATGTTGGAAGCCTGAAAGCCAGATGTTGGAAGCCTGAAAGCCAGATGTTGGAAGCCTGAAAGCCAGATGTTGGAAGCCTGAAAGCCAGATGTTGGAAGCCTGAAAGCCAGATGTTGGAAGCCTGAAAGCCAGATGTTGGAAGCCTGAAAGCCAGATGTTGGAAGCCTGAAAGCCAGATGTTGGAAGCCTGAAAGCCAGATGTTGGAAGCCTGAAAGCCAGATGTTGGAAGCCTGAAAGCCAGATGTTGGAAGCCTGAAAGCCAGATGTTGGAAGCCTGAAAGCCAGATGTTGGAAGCCTGAAAGCCAGATGTTGGAAGCCTGAAAGCCAGATGTTGGAAGCCTGAAAGCCAGATGTTGGAAGCCTGAAAGCCAGATGTTGGAAGCCTGAAAGCCAGATGTTGGAAGCCTGAAAGCCAGATGTTGGAAGCCTGAAAGCCAGATGTTGGAAGCCTGAAAGCCAGATGTTGGAAGCCTGAAAGCCAGATGTTGGAAGCCTGAAAGCCAGATGTTGGAAGCCTGAAAGCCAGATGTTGGAAGCCTGAAAGCCAGATGTTGGAAGCCTGAAAGCCAGATGTTGGAAGCCTGAAAGCCAGATGTTGGAAGCCTGAAAGCCAGATGTTGGAAGCCTGAAAGCCAGATGTTGGAAGCCTGAAAGCCAGATGTTGGAAGCCTGAAAGCCAGATGTTGGAAGCCTGAAAGCCAGATGTTGGAAGCCTGAAAGCCAGATGTTGGAAGCCTGAAAGCCAGATGTTGGAAGCCTGAAAGCCAGATGTTGGAAGCCTGAAAGCCAGATGTTGGAAGCCTGAAAGCCAGATGTTGGAAGCCTGAAAGCCAGATGTTGGAAGCCTGAAAGCCAGATGTTGGAAGCCTGAAAGCCAGATGTTGGAAGCCTGAAAGCCAGATGTTGGAAGCCTGAAAGCCAGATGTTGGAAGCCTGAAAGCCAGATGTTGGAAGCCTGAAAGCCAGATGTTGGAAGCCTGAAAGCCAGATGTTGGAAGCCTGAAAGCCAGATGTTGGAAGCCTGAAAGCCAGATGTTGGAAGCCTGAAAGCCAGATGTTGGAAGCCTGAAAGCCAGATGTTGGAAGCCTGAAAGCCAGATGTTGGAAGCCTGAAAGCCAGATGTTGGAAGCCTGAAAGCCAGATGTTGGAAGCCTGAAAGCCAGATGTTGGAAGCCTGAAAGCCAGATGTTGGAAGCCTGAAAGCCAGATGTTGGAAGCCTGAAAGCCAGATGTTGGAAGCCTGAAAGCCAGATGTTGGAAGCCTGAAAGCCAGATGTTGGAAGCCTGAAAGCCAGATGTTGGAAGCCTGAAAGCCAGATGTTGGAAGCCTGAAAGCCAGATGTTGGAAGCCTGAAAGCCAGATGTTGGAAGCCTGAAAGCCAGATGTTGGAAGCCTGAAAGCCAGATGTTGGAAGCCTGAAAGCCAGATGTTGGAAGCCTGAAAGCCAGATGTTGGAAGCCTGAAAGCCAGATGTTGGAAGCCTGAAAGCCAGATGTTGGAAGCCTGAAAGCCAGATGTTGGAAGCCTGAAAGCCAGATGTTGGAAGCCTGAAAGCCAGATGTTGGAAGCCTGAAAGCCAGATGTTGGAAGCCTGAAAGCCAGATGTTGGAAGCCTGAAAGCCAGATGTTGGAAGCCTGAAAGCCAGATGTTGGAAGCCTGAAAGCCAGATGTTGGAAGCCTGAAAGCCAGATGTTGGAAGCCTGAAAGCCAGATGTTGGAAGCCTGAAAGCCAGATGTTGGAAGCCTGAAAGCCAGATGTTGGAAGCCTGAAAGCCAGATGTTGGAAGCCTGAAAGCCAGATGTTGGAAGCCTGAAAGCCAGATGTTGGAAGCCTGAAAGCCAGATGTTGGAAGCCTGAAAGCCAGATGTTGGAAGCCTGAAAGCCAGATGTTGGAAGCCTGAAAGCCAGATGTTGGAAGCCTGAAAGCCAGATGTTGGAAGCCTGAAAGCCAGATGTTGGAAGCCTGAAAGCCAGATGTTGGAAGCCTGAAAGCCAGATGTTGGAAGCCTGAAAGCCAGATGTTGGAAGCCTGAAAGCCAGATGTTGGAAGCCTGAAAGCCAGATGTTGGAAGCCTGAAAGCCAGATGTTGGAAGCCTGAAAGCCAGATGTTGGAAGCCTGAAAGCCAGATGTTGGAAGCCTGAAAGCCAGATGTTGGAAGCCTGAAAGCCAGATGTTGGAAGCCTGAAAGCCAGATGTTGGAAGCCTGAAAGCCAGATGTTGGAAGCCTGAAAGCCAGATGTTGGAAGCCTGAAAGCCAGATGTTGGAAGCCTGAAAGCCAGATGTTGGAAGCCTGAAAGCCAGATGTTGGAAGCCTGAAAGCCAGATGTTGGATTTCCTTCCATCCAGGAAGCAATGTTCAGCCAGCCAACCCCATGATGATCCCATGCCAGAACGTTTTGCAAGCTCGTAAGGTTTCTACAAATCGTCTCATATTCAACTCCCCCCATGTAAATCTTCACATAAGGCACGGTTCCGACGCTCTCACGCATGGCCGTCTCGGGACTTTGGTCGGTGTCCACTTTATAGCAGGCGACTCTTCCCGCGTATTCAGGGGCGAGCTGGTCTATGTGGGTAGCAACCATCCGTGACGGGCCGGACCACGAAGCGTAGAACAAGACGAGCATGGGAAGATTGCTCTCCAAAACAAGGCTTGAAAAGTTGTCATCTGTCACAGTCGCCGCCATTGGAGTCGTCAGCTGCTACTAGCGGGTGCTAATAGGTGTTGATGGCGACTAAAAGGTGAACGCACTGTGACAGAAAGAGTTTGGAGGCCGAGTCTGGAATCTGGATAATTGTATGAAATCCAAAATTCTGTCATGTAATAATGTAAATGAGCCACTTCAACTACTCAGCAAACCCCGAACAGTGCACTTGCTGCGGCCCTGCGGTGCGGGGTAAGTAAGGTCCCCTCCTCCTACCCCTTGAGGAGGCCACTTGGGGGTTATACTGTACCTTGTACTGTACAATAGATGCGCATCTTACACTCGAAACACTTCCCCCCATTGAGGCAAGTGCTCATGCGAACGGCGCTGACTCGATACCGCAGGCGGAACGAGCGCGGTGAGGGTCGTCGGTTCGGGACTGCCGCGCCGCGGCGTTCTTTACCGTCAAGTACGCTGGGTTCGGTTTCCAATCGCCTGCGGTTCAGTGCGTTGGGGAGGGATGAGGAGCGGTTATTTGTGGACCGCGGTCGGAATGTGAGGGAGGGGGTGGGAGGTGCGGAAGAGAGCATGAGGTTTGGTTGAGCGACGACGGTGGAGGGCGTTCTGATGCGAGCAAAGACGCCAGGTGCTGGAAAGGCGGACGAGACTGCGTTTGTCTGCAGGCACTGACTAACTGGCAAGGTCGAGGAGGCGAGGCGAGAGTGCTGGAAGGACGAGTCAGCCTTTTGAGGTTTTGGTTGAGAGATTGCATCGCTGGAAGGACTAGCCAAGGGAGCACGACAAGAGTGACAGATAAAAGCATACGGCAGGCTACTCACGGAGTGCGCCAGGCATACTCTGTGATTATTCAAAGGACTTGGAAGGATTTGTACAACTGACGCTGGGCCACAAAGATCGTCGTGACCTACTTCTTGCGCAAAATCTGTTCAATCTGGTCTGGGGGCCAGGAGGAACTTTGAAGGAATAAACTCGCTGTCCATCTCCTCCTTCCCTTCCTTCCTCTCCCTCCCCCCTGAACCCTCTCCTCCTCTCCTCGACCCCATGGCTGCCTTGAGTGGATTCCCCGGCCCCTGGAAGAAGCACCCAACCACCGTGTTCTACCCCATGGCTGCTTTCAGGGCGTCCCCAGGCCCCTGGAAGAAGCACCAGGAGAGGGCGAAATCAGCGATAAAGACGAGAACCAACGAAATAACCACTGCCGCGGTGGTGGACTCGCCAACGCCCTTGGCGCCGCCCTGCGTGGTCATGCCCCACCCGCAGCTCACGTCCGCTATGATGCCCCCGAACACCACCGCCTTCACCATCATGCTCAGCACATCCCACGCCTGTACGTTGGGAGGATAGGGGAGAGGGGAGAGCGTGAGAGGGGAGATGGAGATGGAAGAGGGCGGAGAGAGGAGGTCATGCCCCACCCGCAGCTCACGTCCGCTATGATGCTCCCGAACACCACCATATGATCAGCACGTCCCACGCCTGGGGAGTGAGGGGGGGAGGTGGGGAGGGGTTGTGTGTGTGTGTGTGTGTGTGTGTGTGTGTGTGTGTGTGTGTGTGCGTGTGTGCGTGTGTGCGTGCGTGTGTGCGTGCGTGCGTGTGTGCGTGCGTGCGTGTGTGCGTGTGTGTGTGTTTGTGTGTGTGTGTGTGCATGTGTGTGTGTGTGTGTGTGTGTGTGTGGTTATGAAGGCAAATAAAGGGGATGGTGGAACTGTTGGCTCCGAACACCACCACCTTCACCATCATGCTCAGCACGTCCAACACCTACATACCCCACACCACCGCTCTACACACCTGCAACGCCCTGGCAGCGGAGTCGAGGATGATATCGGAGCTGACGTTGTAAACAGTAGCACCTCAACCCATTACTGCACCACCCCACACCTTCATGCCCCACACTACCGCTCTACACACCTACAGTGCCCTGGCAGCTGAGTCGAGGATAATGTTGGAGCTGACGTTGTAGACTGCGTCAGTTAGGGAGACAGAGGAGGCCATGCCCACCGTGAAGCACAGTCAGCAGCTTGAGCAGCAGAGAACAGCACAAGTCCCTGCAGCGCACGAGCAGCATAGAACACACCTTGTACACCCAGAACACGCACCTGCAACGCCCTGGCGGCTGAGTCGAGGATGATGTTGGAGCTGACGTTGTAGACGGCATCAGCGAGGAACACAGAGGAGGCCATGCCCACCGTGAAGCACAGCAGTGTTAGCACGGGCAGGGCCACAGCGCATGCCACCACGCGCGGAGTCACCAGGTAGTCCACTGGATCGGTCTTGAGAACTCGCAGGGTGTCCGTTTGCTCTGACACCTGTGTGGGTTGGGGGACGAGGAACACAGAGGAGGCCATGCCCACCGTGAAGCACAGCAGTGTCAGCACTGGGAGGGCCACCGCGCATGCCACCACACGGGGAGTCACCAGGTAGTCCACTGGATCGGTCTTGAGAACTCGCAGGGTGTCCGTTTGCTCTGACACCTGTGTGGATTGGGGGCAGAGGAACCCAGAGCACAGCAGCGTGAGCACGGGGAGGGCCAGCGAACACAACACCACGCATGGTGTCACGGGGTAGTCTGCAGGACAGGATCCGTCTTGAACACTCTGAGGGTGTCCGTTTGCTCTGATGCCTGCAGGGAGGGAAGGGAAGAAGCAGACAGGAGCAACTGGATGAAGCACAGCAGCTTGAGCACGGGGAGGGCGACGGCGGCACACGCTACCACGCGTGGCGTCATGAGGTAGTCTACTGGTGATAGGTCTTGGGCAATCTGAGGGTGTCTGCTTGCTCGAACAACTGTGTGGGTTGCATGACGATAGCGGTGACGACGGAGGAGAGCGCATGGCGAGCGAGGTGTGTGCTGATTCCCACCTGCATGGTGCCAGCTCAGCAGCGAAAGAACTCCCAACGCGGCCAGCCACGATGATAGTGGTGGCGACGGGGGAGAGCTTACGGTGACGGTGACTAAACCTGCAACTATGCTGCACCCAATCTCACCTGCATGGTGCCTAATTCAACAGCAAAGGAGCTGCCCGCCCACGCGCCCAGCCACATGATGGTGGTGGTGGCGACAGGGGAGAGCTCTTGGTGAGGGTGTTGGTGATGATGATTGTACGTGGCCTAAAACCCACCTGCATGGTGCCTAGTTCAGCAGCAAAGGAGCTGCCCACGCGGCCAGCCATGATGATGGCGGTGACGACGGGGGAGAGCTCTCTGCACAGCGCCAGCGCCAGCACACCCCCCACAGAGCGAGTCAGACCCAGCCGAGCAAACTCCCGCACGAACTGGGGAGATGGCAAGGGGATGGGAGCGCACGGGAACATGGGAGGGTATGGAAGGGGATGGGATGGGAGAAGGTAGGATGGGCGATTTGCTCAGCTGGCCACGCAATTGGGCGGCGATTTGCTCAGTTGCCCTGCCGGTGCTCAGTAGGATGATAGCAGTGGTGACGACGGGGGAGAGCTCTCTGCACAGCGCCAGTGCCAGCACCCCCCCCACGGAACGAGTCAGACCCAGCTGAGCAAACTCCCGCACGAACTGGTGGGAGTGGCGGGCGGGGAGGGAGGGGAGTGGTGGGGGAGAGGGAGGGATGGGAGGGGGTAAGAGGACGATTAAAAAATCAAACGGGCAAACTGGGTAACAGCGCCAGCACCCCCCCCCACGGAGCGAGTTAGGCCCAGCCGAGCAAATCCCGCACGAACTGGTGGGAGGGGAGGGAGTGGTGGGGGAGATGGAGGGAGGGGAGGGGGTAAGAGGGCGCTTCAACAATCAAACGGGCAAACCGGGTAACAGCGCCGGCATCCCCCCCCCATGGAGCGAGTCAGGCCCAGCCGGGCGAACGGAGATGGGAGGGGTTAGAGTGGGGCAGGAGGGGATTTGAGGAGATCGAGATGGTTGGATGGGATAAGAGAGGGGATGACGAGGGAATATGAGCTAAGTACCCTTCAAGGCTTTAAGGTGAAGTGGTGGATTTTAACTGGCAAATGTCACACCTAATAAAGGGCATATTTTGTGCATAGGTTAAAAGGAACACCCAGACAGTGAGTGAATATTACACATGTACAATGAACATAACAACTGGATGGTAAAGCTCCCACCTGGATGGTGAAAGCCATGCCAACAAAGCATGCTGTCAGCAGGGAGACTCCGAGCGATCCTGGCCCCACGATCTGAAGCTGAGTCAGCAGATTACGCCAGTGCACACGCCCCGTCAGCACACGCATGGACACCTGGCAGCACACAATTGGATGGTAGAGAGGAGGCAGAGAAAGGCTTTATGACTGGCCTGTGAAGCATCCCATCATCACTTCACTTTGATCTCGAGAACAGTGACGGATCAATCATGCACTCATGGACGAATTTTTTATCAGAATGAAACTAAGATGGGTATATTCGCCTCCCCTGTAACTTACCTGCTCCCAGTCCCGCCTGTCCCGCCAGGGTGTGGGTGGCAAACGCACTCCACACAGTCTGCGGCCGATTCCACTCTTACTGACATACACGGCGCCTACAGTCACATAAATCCCCTCTCGCACCTGCTTTCCCCTGCAAGCCCCACCTGTCCCGCCATGATGAGTGTTGCAAACGCCCGCCACACTGTCTGGGGTGGTTTCCACTTGAGCTTTGCCTTCTGCCACCCGCCCTGCCCGTGCCTGCTTCCCTCGTCCGACCCGCTCTCGTCAGCTGGTTGATGGGGGAGAAAGTTGGGGTTGAGGGGGAGAGAAGAAGGTGGGAGGGATTAGAGGGTGGGGGAGAAAAGAGTGAAGAGAGAAGGGTGCGGGGTGTCTGGCTGTGCTTCCTGCCCTGGTCCGACCCACTCTTGTCAGCTGCATGATGGGGTAGAGGAGAGGGAGGAGAGGAGGGTGAGGGGTGTGTTGGTGTGGCGATGGGGTTTCTCAAAGCCATCAGCTATGGCCTTGCTGCAAAAATGAGAGCAATTTCAAGACAGCAGGCAAACACAAGTAATGATAAGGGAATTAAGGGGGTGTTAGTGATCAGGGAGCTCAGGCCTAGGTTCTAGGTTGGGTGGTGCAGACAAATTGGCGCCACTGTCGTTTTGATCAGGTAGAGATGATGGAGAAGTGGGAAGATGATCAAGGAACAGAGGCTGATATATTTGGGGGAGGGGAGGGGGAAGGAGGAGGGGAAGGAAGAGGTAATGGGGAGGGGACAAGCACCTGTAGGAGAGAATATGAGAGGATATGGATCCGTGGGGGTGGAGAGGTTGGTGAGAGGATGAAAGCGAGCTGACATGGCAGCAAGCGGAACCTGAGATGCACTCACATGACAGCATGTGTCGTTCCTGAGGCAATTCCCCAGTCGTGGCATCTGCGTGTACTGAGACAAATCATAACGAACCCTCCGAATCACTCACATGGCAGCACCTGTCGATCCTGAGGAAAATTCCCAGGCGTAGCGTCTGCATGTAAGCTCGCTCGGAGCTTCAGTCCGTCCGTTGATCTTCCTCCTCGAGAATACTCTAGCTCCCGCATTCTTATACTCCGGGAGGAGCCAAGTGGTCGACTGGAGGATGTCTGACGAAGCAATCTACTTTTGCCGCTTGGGGATTGTCGGCAGGAGCCGATCGGACCGCCTCTGATGCGTTGCTCATGCTGAAATGCGAATGTCTGGTTTGCTTCTTCGGGTTCGCACGGACGCCGCGTCGCGAAGGTGTGCGTTGGATTAAGGCACACGCCATTGAGACTCGCTCGTAGAAGAACCATTTTTTGGACAGGCCGATAGCCGCTGGTTAATGAAAATGATCAACTTTGCTAAGAACCAACAGCCAAAGAGAATGGCTGACTTCCCAATACGCGATAGCGTGGAATAAGCAGAGAAGACCTTTTCTGATTTTTGATTACTTTCAAAAAAAAGTTCGTCAGATAGAACTCAAATCTGCGAGATTGCTATGGATATTTTCTAGGTCATTTGGAAAAGGTGTTCACTCATACAGTACAACCGACACAGGGACATGGAATATCTCCAGTTATATACACACGGGTGACGTCATCACATGCCGCGAGATTGCTATGGATATTTTCTAGGTCATTTGGAAAAGGTGTTCACTCATACAGTACAACCGACACAGGGACATGGAATATCTCCAGTTATATACACACGGGTGACGTCATCACATGCCGCCCCGCCCGCCCTGGCACAAAGGGAATTGAGGCAAAACGAAAAACCCGCGGAATCCCTCCGGGACCCCAGAAATTCCCGGCTGACCAGGCCAAAAAACCCTCCGAAACCCGCGGGTTCAATGTCGTATTCTTATGACAATATATATGTCAGCCGTAACAGTGGAAATTGAGGGACATTTGTCGAACAGTGCTCGACGGACATTGGCCAATCGCCGTCGACCTCCGTGCACCCCCGACAACACTGGTTAAACCGGTGGCAAGTCGCCAAGGAATCGCCTACACGGTGGCGCCGACGGTCGTCGGTTGCGAAACACGTTTCGCAACCGTCGACCGTCGCAATCGACGGAGACGTCTACTGCGGCCGACCTGTCGCCTCATCGGACGAGCGAAATGTCGCTGTCGGATGGGCGACGGGTGACGTCTGTCGCAATCAAACGGTCACGTCAACTGCTGACGGCCACGTCAAATGTCATGGTCTTCACGGGGAGCAAGATCAGCCCAAACACAGTATAAACCTGAATCTATAGTAGAATCACCACAGTTTTCCCTGAAGGCCAGGATTTAGGGAGAAATTGTAGCTTTCAGTGGGCAGTGATGGAGAACGATCCGTCGACGACAGAGCCTTCCCGGCAGGCGGAAGTAGGACGGATACCTGTCGCATTAGAATCCATCTCGACACCACCCCCTTCGACGTCTGGAGCCAGGCCGGTTTCTTCAGCGCCTCCTTCGACGTCGCGAGCCATACCGGTCGTAATACAGCCGGTTGTTACGAACAGCGTTCGACGGGTATTCCGGTCACTGTTGAAGTGGGTGGTGCTCAGACCGAATTCCCTTCGACATGTCAATCCATACTTGTTGTGGTAGAAACCATCTCGACAACAAATGCCCCCTCTACACACGAGGCTCCACCTCACCGTGCACCATCGTCGACAGCCAACCGCTCGACGGAACCTTCGGCGCGTGCACCGACCTAGACAAGTGGGCGACGTTGGAGAGCAAGGGTTGTTCCGCCTGAGGTTCGACAACCACCCCCAGCCGGCACATCCGCTTCTCGAGCCACCCCCGCCGCTCCTAGGCGCACTTCGACGAGACCAAGCAGAGAGGACTTAGCCAGGAACGTCCCTGAAGCGACGCACGATGAGGATGATCGGACGGGAGAACAGCAGGAGGCGGACGATGTCGAACCGCCGGACCCTCTGCGGCCTGCTGCGGCAAATATATCAGAGGAGGATGCCGCGCACATTCTCGGCGACCAACAGGGCGCAGACAATCCGTACTTGGCGACGGGAACACTTGAGAGCAGGATTCTCCGTTGTGAGGTTCTGCTGCTGGGAGTTGACCAGGATTCCACACGGCCGAACTATGTCTCTGGAAGCATGCACTACAAAGCTTGGGCCTGTAAAACTCTGGCACCCAAGAGAAGCAACGGAGTGCCTAAAGAGGAGCAGGTGATCCACGAGGACGAGATCGGTAGGGAGATCGGCGACGATATGGGGCCGAGATGGAGGGAGGCGCTCCGTAACGAGGAGCACCTGCATGGGCCGAAAATAACGAAATGACGCTTGCGCGCGTACGTCGAATACATGTCGACTGAAACCGACGAACAGGCGGAATCCTTGGATACAGGCCGGACCAGAGTCGCTGGAAGGAAGGCGAAAAAAAGCACCCCTCCGATGATGCTGGCGCGCCTTACTGCGCTGACGTGCTTCTGCAGAGTGGAGGCCATACTCTTCGACGAGCCACTAACGAAACCCTTGGACGACATCACCGAGGCCCGGCAGCTTCTTGCGGTCAAGCTGCGGCAGCTGCACGACTTTCAGTTCGAGTAAGTAGGCTGCCATACACCGGACTCTAAAACTTATTCAAATTCTGACCCCTTAATCGCTGTATCTGCCCACTCAATGCAGACACTGCGTCGATCCACACCGGGGCTCGCTCGACGATGTTTACACGGAGGAGCAGTTCCGCATTCTCGTTTCAGACATCCTGCCGTACTGGGCCAAGGAGTACTTTCGGGAGTCGATGGGTTACCCCAGTCAGTCGCTGTGGAGGGCCTTGGCCGTGAGGGTGATGATCCTCATGGCGCATCACATGCTGGGTAGGGGGATAAGCATCCGCGAGATCCGCTACTGCAATATGTTCACTCACGTCCTTCCGCCCATCACGAACAGCAAGGGGGAGTCGTCGATCCACGTTCTCGTGGTCGCCTATCGCAACTCGAAGACCATCAAAGACAACAAGCTCGGCCACCTGTACCTGACTCGACACATGGACTTCCGGCAGTGCGGCTTCGGAGCAGTGTTCATGTGGATACATTTCCTTTTCGACCTTGTACCGCTCCACTACAACGACGATAAGATCGTGCCCCCCTTGGATTTTAGCAACCCGGAAAACTGGTCGAAGAAGCACCTGTTCTTCGCCCTCTTCGACAAGGACAAGACCGAGTTGCCGTACGCGACTCATGCCAAATGGGTTACCTGGGCGATGAAAAGCGCGGAGTGGATCCTGTCGAAAGTCACACACATCTTTCGACGGTCTGCGGCACAGATCCTCGCCGACAAAAACTGTGAACTCGACAACATCGCGCAGCTGGGTCAATGGGACATGAACGAGATGCGCAGGTCATACGTCACAGGCATCCCGCGCGGGGCCATCCAGCTGCAAGCGGGTTTCACGACGGAACCGGGTGACTATTACCTTGGAAGATCGAAGAGCGAAGTACCTGCGAAGGTCCTGAAGGCTATCGAGGAGCACATATTTCCAAAGGCGGAGCAGTGGCTCGACGAGGTATGGATGCGTCGAGCGCATAGCGTGATCATCGAATGCAAATTTTGTCCGTCTATCTCTCAATGTCACCACGTTTGTTCTTGTTCAGGCGATGGAATGGAACAACGAGCAGGACAAGGAGCATATGTTCTTCGCAGCGAAAAGTTTCTTGAAGGCCCTGCAAGCCGCCCGAATGCCCATCGCAGAGGATCTTGCGATGTACTACGTCCATTGTGACGACCACCCCTTCGACGGAGTGACTGTTTGCGACTGCGAGCGTCACCCTTATGCACAGATGTCGGGTTTGTGCAAGGACATGGATTTCCAAAAATGGGCGCTTGACGTGTACCTGCTCGACAAGTACGGCATCAAGATGCGGACCAACCCCACGCTGTCGAGAGCCTCGGTAAGATGGCCCTTCCAAATCTTAATCCGAACAGTTTGCATCAGCCCACTTACCGCTCGTGATCTTGTGCGCAGGACGCATCCTTTCAACTCAACACCAAGCACCTGATCATGCAACTTCGGGCTGAGGTTAACTTACACAAGGAGGAGGGAGGGAAAAAAGAAATCAAGATCAAGCACCTCGAGCAGAAGGTCGAGTCATTGGAGCGGGAGAAGGGCGCGATGCAAGCGGAGATGGAGGCGAAGGACCAGGCTCTCGCGCAACTGCAGAAAGCGTTCGACGCACTGAAGATTACCGCGGCGACAACCGCAGCTGCGAATGTGGGGGAGAGCGAGAGCGTGCCGCATACGGCGACCGAAGAAACCACCCCGCCACCATAGCAAGCCCCACAATCAACACCCACTCGACAGAGCGTGGGCAGCCAGCTCGACCAAGCATTCTTCGACGCAGTGGTGTGGCCGTGGTGCAATTGCGAGACCGTGCGGCAGGCGTGGTCGTACTGGGACGGGCCAAGCCCTCTGAACAACGGACACAGTCTTCGACAAGCTTACAGGAGGGGTTTCGCCGTCAAGTTCAGCAAGTTCACTCCGACTCCTCCCCCCGTTCCCCCTGTTGCGGAGGACCAGCCAAAAGAAAAGCCACCGACCCCAAAAGCTGTCGAGTCGAAATTGCGGAAGATGGAGGTTGTCATGAGGGCCGTCGAGATGTTCAGGGTCGACGACAGCAGCGCGGCTACGTCGACGATCGTTGATAAGCTTGACTCAATAGTCACGAACCACTCGATCAACATGCTGGCGGAAGGGCTCTTTCTCAAGGAGGATTCGGGGAAGCAGCTCACGAAGAAGCGCAAAGTCGAGACAGCAGAAGACAACCGGAAGGACAAAGATCGCCTCAGGATCACGCGGGAGCTCATTCGCATCGAACTTCGAACCACGGAATGGGCCGAGAATGTGTTCAAAGACAAATGGAAAGAGTTCATGAAAACAGTGGGCGAGAATCCAAGTTCGACAGGCAACCGTGACGAGGGGGGAAACTAGAGTAGGTTGTTCTTTCAAAAATTGCATGGCAGCTCGACAGCAGCACCATTGCGTACAGACCTGTGCTGCCACGCGCAGCATCTGCAACAGTATGGCGTCCGTCGAGCCGAGACCTTGGACAGCCGTCGAATACAGCTGATCGGGCCACTGCTTCGCCGGGAACGTTTTCCCGACGTGCAAAAGTGTGGACACGAGCGCGGCCATGGCAGCCACACAAGCCTTGCTTGCAGTCTCCGGGGCGTAGAGCGCAGCGTTTGCGGCAGCTAGGGCATCCTTCTCAATATCCTCCCTCGACAACTTCCTGCAGGCCGCCCACAAGCTCGCCACAGTTGCTGCGATGGCCATCATGTGCGGTGTCGCCGCCATGCCCTTCGGGACCGGGTAAATCAGGTTCCCGTGCTTCAGGCCAAGCGTCGCGACCTTACCAATCGCCACGCACAGCGCGATTCCCCTATCGGTTCCAGCTCTCACTTCCTTTTCTGCCGTCGCCAACAGCGACTTGAAACTGCACATTGCAACAAATGCGTTAGTCAAGAGGCCAGAATTCGACCGACAGCACATTCACCGCCAAACAGCAGTTGTTCGACAATTCACCAAAACAGAAGGAAATCGACAGCAGAGTCGAACAACATGACTTCGACAGGACTCACTCGTCGAAACGACATTCCCCTTGTTCTTGCGCCACGCTCCAAACGCCGGTTGGCATTTCTGCGGCCGCATCGAGGTAGACCTTCCAGTCCTTCTCAAAAGTGCCAAGGAACCGCTTCCTCCCGCCGACGGTCTGCTCGGAAACCGGCTTCCCCTTCCGCAACCCGAAACCCGGTCCTCTGAAGGGAGCTTTGCTGCCTCTCGTCTTGCCTTGGTCGTCCGGCCGAGGAGGTGGGGTGTAACCCATGACCTTGGCCTTTTTCGCCTTCTCCTGTCGAGCAGCAACGACGGTAGACGTCTTCACGACAGAAGCCTGGCCAGAGAGGCTGGCCAGCTCCACGACGTCAAAGCTCTCTGTAGCCTGTGCAGAGCGCTTCGACGACTTCGTCGCAGCCGGCTTCTTCTTCGACGTCGAAGGGGAACCAGGATCGCTAAGGCAGACGTCGCCCAGGGCCGGAGCAGCGACAGTAGCAACTGCAGGGGTAGAGGAAGACGCCCAATATCCCACCTGCTCGACAGCATGGCCAGCACCACCGCTCTGCGCAGCGGATGCTTCTTTTGTCTTCGACAACAACCCAGCTGACGTCTCTCCCGCCCCTTGGCCCGCAGCGCCTCCGGACGGGGTGGGGACACCTCGCTTTCCCAAGGCTTTTTTCCCGTCTGCGGCGACGGAATCGATTGCGGCACCACTTTTCTCCCCCGCAACCACTCCTTTCCCACCCGTAATCCCCAAACCCTGCAGGATGTCGCGCATCGGAGCAAACGCATCAGGTGGAGGCATCGCAGCTGCTTCGGAGCTCTTCGGGAGGGGTGACTGGTCGAGTACTATGACCTCGTTATCCTCCACGGACTCGGCGACGGGATGACGGCCACGCGACGGTGGTGATGCTACCCGGCTGCCGACATGTCCTCCCACGGAAGAAGAAGGAGGAACCACGCCCGTGTGAAGTCGAGGCTCGGTCCCGCTGCGAAACCCTGCCACACCCTCCTGACGCGATCTTGTCGACGGGCCCGTCGAGCGCTGTAACCCCCTCGCCACCGCTTCGGTGAGGACCTCCAATCTCCCCGCTTCACCTTCCTGGTGGCCTTCTCTCACAATGTCCTTCAGCTGCTTCATGGTCTCGGGTGGGAGGTTGGAGTAGAACAAGTCCTCCTTGACGGCATTCTCGATACCCTTCATGACCGAAGCAGCCAGCCGCTCCTCGACCAGCTTGAGCTGCTTCTCGACGGCGTCCTCGCTCGCTTTTGCGATGGCGGCGGCCACACCCTCGATGATCTTTCCGCTCATTTCGTCGAGCTTCGTCCGCACCCCTTCCAACAGCTTCCTCTCCTCCGTGACGCCGCTTACAGCGTTGGCGCACTGCTTCAGCGTGCTCTTCGACGACTCCGAAATCGTTCCCCAGGCCGTCCGAAAATCCGCAGCAAGCCTGTTGAAAACTACGGCTTGCTCGCTATGCTTCGCAAATACGTCGGCGACGAGCTGCTTCTGTGACGCCTCCACCTCCGCGACCCTCTGCAGTAGCTCGACAACCTGGCATCCGGATGCAATGTCCGACGTCGAATGGCCCACCGTCGACGGGCGCCCCCTCGATGGGCCCGCTTGTCCGCTGCCACTGGCCGTGCGGTGTCTCCTTGTAACTGCGACCTGTCGCTCGTCTCCTCGGAGACACTCATGCATAGCCTCCCCGCCCTCCTGCTGCTGCCCTCCTGTCGCACCCTGCTGCGCAGCCGTCACGCCCTCCTGCTGCTGCCCTCCTATCGCACCCTCCTGCGCAGCCTCCCCGCCCTCCTCCTGGTGCTGCACTCCTGCCCCACGCTCCTGCACAGCCGCTTCGCCCTCCTGCTCCTCGACAGCAACCCGCTCCCCGAGCGCCACTCCGTGCTCCACCGTATGCTGCGTCCCGCCATCGTTCTCGACAGACTCATCGCTCGAGCTCGAGCCGGACGTCAATTCCGAGCTCGAGTCCTCCTGCCTATTCGCATCGCCGCCCTCGCCGCTCACCGCGTGCTGAGCTTGCGTCGATGTATCCTCCTCGATACCCTCCTCCTCTTCGTATTCATACTGGAGCACCTCACCACCTACTCCCTCCGCCAGCTTGTTTATCTTTCCCCTAAACAGCTTTACCATGTACAACGGAATCATCCCTGGGCCAGGACTCGTTCTCCCGAGATGCACGATCGCTCCCTGTCGAGGAGTAAGAATGATTTTGTCCCAGTTCGACAGGATCCGTCGCACTCCGTGAATGACACGAGCTCCCGCGCCGGGTTCGACGGGGCTCAGCAGGGGCGTCGTCGTCTGCAACGGGTAGCAAGCACAGGTAAGCGACAGAACACATGCTCGACGAAAGCATTGCGGGTCTAGGGTGGGCTTACCAGTTTATCGAAACTCCTGATCATGTCCAGACGAATGTCCATGACGTTCAACACTTCCTGCTCGACCTCGGTCACAACCTGTTGGGTCAACGCGTACTCGGCTCGAAGCTGCCTCTTCATCCAACTGCAAGGCAACGGACAGCAGGGTCAGATCGTCCAGCGCAGCAGCTCGACAACAGCGTGGCAAAACGATCACTCACTTGAGAACTTCCTGCGCCAGCGAAGATTGGTGGTTCACCGCGTCAAACTTGTCCTTCGAATCGAAGTGCATCATTCGAGTTCGACAGCCACAGTGCCTCGGAGCCAGCAGATCGTCGGGGCGCGATACCACAAACAGGCTCGAGTGGGAGCCCGGTACCACAGTCAGGCTGCATGCAGAGCGAATGCACATAAGCCAAAAAGCACAAAAAACACAAAGCACAAAGGCGAGGGGCGAGTGTCGAACTCACGTGGTCCGCATCAGAACGAAAATAACTTGCTTGCCGAGCAGGCCGAGGTGGTTGGCCGCAAAAGCGACCGGTGTGGAACGCGCCATCTCTTCGTGCGCACGCGTCGAGGTGATGATCGACACCATGGGGAGCTGCTCGACGGGCATCATCTCCCGACAGAACAGGCTGCACATAAACCTAGCGAGCGGTCAGCGACAGTAAAGCAGGCACAACCGACAATGCTCGACAAGAAACGTACGCGACGCCCGCGGTGACCATCCTCTCGTCGAGCTCAGCCTTCGGCGCCTCCTCGATCGCGTTTAACTGGTCCTCGAACACCTCCACCTCGATCCCGCCTGCGGTTAGGATGAGGCCGCGCCGAACGGTCGGCTCGACTACGGGTTGGGAGGCGGGCCCCGTTGCCATGGCAGGCCTAGCAGAAGGGAGAGCGGGAGAGCTACAAAGTTTGAAACTAGTGAGTAGGGTGAGAGAAAAGTTGAAGAAAACAACAGCAAAATGAGAGCTCTCTCAGGCTTTAGCTGGTTGACATCCCCCCCACCGGGTCAGTCTCGGGTGCAAGCGCGACGAGGCAGGACGCGTTCCGCGACGGCCGGAGGAGGCTTTTCGCAGGGGGCGGCGGGGCCCTATTGGCCTCGACGTGAAATCTGTTGCGCGAATGCATGAGGTGGGGCGCTTTTCATGCAGGAGGGAGGCCCTTTCACCGAGGTGGAGGGGGCGTTCGACACGTCACTCACTCGGGTCGAGCGCGAACCGAAACGGGCCCTTTCAGGCGAGTGCGGTGCAGCGCGGCGTGGATGGGTTCCGTCGGTTACCGGACGGAACCCGTCCACGAACCGAGCGTGGGGTTGGGCTCGGTTGGGGGGGACCACTGCCAGCTCGAGGGCGCGCGTTGCTGGCGTCACGCGCAGCTGGCGCCAGCTGTGGGCGCCCGTTTTCGGGCGGGAGGGGGGGGGTGGCTCCCGCCCCTCGCGTGCCCCGCTAGGCGACTGCGGGAAAACGAAAATCCCTCCGAGGAAAACCCGCAGGGGCGAACGGGGTTTCGCGGAGGGATTCGGCCGACGTCTTCCCATAAATCTACTCAGGTTGTCTCTAGGTTGAGAAATCAAGGGAGCGGAAGAAGAATTTGATTGAGCAGATGTTCCAAGGGCGTATTTCTCACCGCTAACGTATACGGGTCGAACCGGATCCAAGGACGTTTCAGTACGCAAGAAATGGTGTGACGACAATTAGATCCTGAGCGAGGAAATACTGTACGAAGTAGAAAGTTTAGCTCAACATCGATAGCAGGGACTACAAAAGTCAACGATGATTTTTCGAACTCAGTCGCACATCTAGGCTGTAGCACCATCTAAGTGGACAGGCCCCTGTTACAAGGAGGACCACGCCCTAGCCTTGAGAACCTCGAGTAGTGTTCAGCAGAAGCAGCCATTTCTCCCAGCCGCGAATCCCAAGGCGGGGAGCCAGTGTTGGAGGTTACCTCTAGCCACATCATACATGGCCATCGAAGCCTGTTAGCAGCAACGTTTTCCACTTTCCAGTCAGTAGATCACATGCGCGGTTCGTTCGTGAAGCGCGAAGAGATTGAATGGCTCTTCTCGTGTTTTTCTTGCACCAGGAGCTACGTGCGTTGATTAGCTTTGGCAAATTCGCTATTTGCGACGCTCAGTTTCGCAATAATGGTACCCGTCGTTCTAGTAACACTTCTCGTCTTGTTCGCGGGTTCAGTTTTAGTTCCTCCGGCAATCGCTGTGTCCAATCACGGCATACCATGTGGCGTGTCTGTGGTGAAAGGACGACGGCAATTCCAGGAAGATAGAGTTCTCTGCTCGGCTCTTATCCCCGTTCCAGCTTTCGATATTGTCACTCAAGGTGCACATTCAGGTTCCTGTTCCAGGCCTCTATATTGTCGTCACTCAATCACAGTTTCAGAATCCTGTTCCAAGCCCTCAATATTGTCACTCAAGGTACGATTTCACGGCGTGTACCTGTTTCTTAACCTTGTGTTTGGGAACTTTACATACTTTATGCCGAAATAGCAGTGAGAGCCTTTGGAATGCTTGACTCCATCATGCCAACATGCAGCATCCATCATGCCAACATGCAGCATCTATCATGCCAACATGCGGCATCCATCATGCCAACATGCAGCATCCATCGTGCTAACATGCAGCATCCATCATGCCAACATGCAGCATCAATCATGCCAACATGCAGCATCCATCGTGCTAACATGCAGCATCCATCATGCCAACATGCAGCATCCATCATGCCAACATGCAGCATCCATCATGCCTACATGCAGCATCCATCATGCCAACATGCAGCATCCATCATGCCAACATGCAGCATCCATCATGCCTACATGCAGCATCCATCATGCCTACATGCAGCATCCATCATGCCAACACGCAGCATCCATCATGCCTACATGCAGCATCTATCATGCCAACACGCAGCATCCATCATGCTACTAACATGCAGCATCCATCATGCCAACATGCGGCATTCACCATCCTAAGATGCAGCATCCATCATGCCTACATGCAGCATCCATCATGCCAATATGCAACATCCATCATGCTAATATGCAGCATCCATCGTGCTAACATGCAGCATTGATCATGCTAACATGCAGCATCCATCATGCCAACATGCAACATTGATCATGCCAACATGCAGCATCCATCTGCTAACATGCAGCATTGATCATCCTAACATGCAGCATCCATCATGCTAACCTCTCAAAAACGTTTAAAAATAATCCCCCCAACAACCCTTACTCCAGGTGGCCACACCCGCCAGTGGGCAGTGCAGGTGGTGGGGGTACTGGACGGGCATGGAGGAGGCGAGGCCAGCCACACCGCACCACAGACACCACACCATAGCACACCATTCATACATTGTTCACTATCTCTCAAACATTCCCCCGTTCAGGTGGTCGAGTCCGCCAGTGGGCGGTGCAGGCGGTGGGGGTGCTGGACGATCATGGAGGCGGGGAGGCCAGCCACAGCACAGCACACCACACTGTCCATTAACTATCCACTATCCCTCAAACACCCTCTCATCCAGGTGGTCACACCCGCCAGTGGGCGGTGCAGGCGGTGGGGGTGCTGGACGGGCATGGGGGAGGCGAGGCCAGCCAGCTCGCCGCCTCGTGTCTCCTTCCCTCCCTGCGCGCCAGACTCTCCGCCCTGCCTCATTCCTCCAGCTATTCACCACCCCACCCCACCCATTAGCAATCTACTATTCTCCAAACCAGTCATCCATTGCCCTTTCTCCACGATGTTTCTGTTAACTTTGCTCCAGGTGGTCACACCCGCCAGTGGGCGGTGCAGGCGGTGGGGGTGCTGGACGGGCACGGGGGAGGCGAGGCCAGCCATACCAAACCATTTGTTGACTATCTGCCATCCTCCAATCATTTCTCACCCTCCATCCAGATGGCTGCACCCGCCAGTGGGCGGTGCAGGCTGTGGGGGTGCTGGACGGGCACGGGGGAGGCGAGGCCAGTCAGCTCGCAGCCTCGCGCCTCCTCCCTTCCCTGCGCGCCAGACTCGCCGCCCTGCCTGCTCTCAGTGGAAAACAGTCGCAGTGTGACCGCAGGGCCATGCATGAGTCGCAGGCAGCAGCTGGACGAGATCGTGGGAGGGATGGTGATGGGAGGGATGGTGATGGGAGGGATAGGCGTGAGGATGGGAGGGATGGTTGTGAGGGCGTGGGAGGTGGCAAGAGGCGTGCGGGTTGTGCTGGCGAAGGGACAGCAGAGGAGAGAGGGAACTGCAAGGAGGAGGCGGAGGAGGGTGAGGAGACCGAGATGGAGTGGGAGGAGCAGGAGAGAGCGAGAAAGCGGGTGCTTGAAGGAGTGTTAGCAGGCGCTCTAGAGGATGTGGATACGGAATTCGCACAGGTAAGCAACCACTGTTGGCGTGGCACAGGTGTACGAATGGGTTATTGGCGCGCCTCAAGCATAGAAAGATTCTACTTGGAGTGTTAGCAGGCGCACTAGAGGATGCGGATACAGAATTCGCACAGGTAAGGCAGTCACTGGTGCTGGGCTGGCGGTGCACGAAAGTTCTCTTTGTTCCAAACCGAGAGGTTCAGCATACGTACCCCTTGCCCTCTTTGTTGAAAAATGCTCGTTCTCTCAATCTCAGCCCCTCCGCCTCCTCCTTCCCCTCCTCCTCCCTCCCCTCCGCCGCCCCTCCTCCTCCTCCTCACCCTTCACCCCTCACTGCCTGCTGTGCGCTCCCCTAAACCCCCTGTGCACGCTACAGCGCTCCAGTGTTGGCACTTTGGTCTGGCTCCACGGCTGCTGTGGCCCTCCTTGTCTACTACTGCTTGCTGCGCACTTCCCCAACCATCCCACCCATTTGCTCCCCACTTCCGTTTCCCTTGCTCACTATCATGCTCCCTCTCACAGGAGGCCCGCAAGCACCACTGGTGGTTTGGGTCCGCGGTTGCTGTGGCTCTCCTTGCCATTCAACCTCATCTGCCACCCTACTGTGTGCAATGCAATTCACTCCCCCTCACTATCATGCTCCCTCTCACAGGAGGCTCGCAAGCACCGCTGGTGGTCCGGCTCCACGGCTGCTGTGGCCCTCCTTGTCTTCCACCGCCTGCTGCCCTCGCCTCCTTGCTGCCACCCCCACCACACATGCCCTACTCTCAACGACAACCCCACCTGCTACCAGCACTCGTGCTCTCCTGATCCATGCAGTGTCAGCCAAGAACATGCGGCAGTCACATGCGGCAGCTCCCACTCGATTTCATGCAGTGTCAGCCAAGAACATGAAACTGAGTGGGAGCTGCCGCACGTGGCTTCTGAGTCGACTCACAAGCCACCCAGCCACCACCAGCACTCATGCTCTCCTGATGCACGCACAGCTGTCCAAGAAGATGAAACCGAGTGGGAGCTGCTGCACATGACAGTGGCCAATATAGGGGACTCTAAGGTTCTAGTCTGTGGCAAGGGGGAAAGGCATGGTGGGTGGGTGGTGGGGGGCCGCGAGAGGCATACAAGTGCAGCAGGGGAGGAGAAGCAGATGAGTCCAGAACGACGAGGTGTGAAAGAGGGTGTGCTGTACGGGAATGTTAAGGAGCAGGGTGTGTTGGCGACCAGTGATGGGATGATGAGGCATGTCCAGGACCCGGACTCCAAGGCACATGCCATTGCTGCAGCAGCAGGGGTCCATGAGTGGACGTGGCCGATAAGCGGTGCTATGGACAGGGGCAGGCAGCCTGTTTCGGTGTGTGGGTGCAGGCAGGCAGCCGAGCAGAGCATGAGTGAGCCTGGTGAGACCTCTCCTTTGGTTACCACATCGTCTGGTTACCACTTCCTCTGATTATCACTTCCTCTGATTATCACTTCCTCTGATTATCACTTCCTCTGGTTACCACTTCTGCAGGTTCTATTCGTCCTACCCACGCCCACTATTCCCACCTCGCTCACATTCATCTCCCCATCCGCCCCTTACAACATCTCCCTCTCCTGCCGCATCCTCCTTTCCGCTCCCTCTGACATCAGAGCCTCGTCGCTCACATTCATTTTCCCATCCGCCCCTTGCATTTTCTCCCTCTCCTTCTACGCTCCCTCTAACATCAGAGCTTCGTCGCTTGGCGGTTCTGCAGAGACGGAAGCAGCGCCTTCGCGAGCAGCAGAGGCGACATGCGCTGGTGAAGTACAAACCGCAGGAGCAGCAGATGCAGAGGCAGCAGCAGCAGCAGCAGCAGCAGCAGCAGCACGAGCAACAGAAGCAGCAAAGGCAGGCGTTACCCATGCTCCACGAGCAGCAACAGCAACAGCAGGAGAAGCAGCAGCAGGAGAAGCAGCAGCAGGAGAAGCAGCAGCAGGAGAAGCAGCGGCTGGAGAAGCAGCAGCTGGAACGGGAGCGTTCTGCCTCATTGTGCACGACAGAGCTGACTGACGACCACAGGGCGGACAGAGAGGATGAGAGGAGGCGCGTGGAGGCGATGGGGGGGAGAGTGGAGGAGCGGGGCGGGGTGGCGCGCGTGCAAGGCGAGCTGGCTGTGACTCGCGCCCTTGGGGACCTGCAGTACCGCCCGTGGGTGGTGCCCACGCCTGAGATCACTGAATGGCTGGTTAGGCGTGAAACGTCCAGGCGTGGGGCAAGGGGGGCATGTGTGGGAGGTTGCGGGGTGGATGGGAAGAGGATTGGGTGGGTGGTGAAGGAAAAGGATGCAGCAAGGGAGGAGTCGAGGCCGGAGGGAAATGAGGAGAGGGGGGGTTTGGGTGAAGAGTGTGCTCAGGTTACGAATGGGAGTAGAGCAGTGGAAGGGCGAGAAGGTCAAGCTCAAGAAGCGCAAGCAGGACGAGCAGGTTTGGAGGGACGTAATGGAAAGGAGCATGTAGTGAGCGATAAGGAGGGAGCAGAAGCGGAGGAGGCTGAGGAGGGCGAGGAGGTTGAGGAGGGCGAGGAGGTTGAGGAGGAGGAGGAAGAGGAGGAAGAGGAGTTCCTGATTGTGGCAACAGATGGTGTCTTTGAGCGATTGAAACCGTGCCAGGTGTGCGGCATAGTGGGCAGGGCGAGACGGGCCCAGAGGGGGAAGGAGAGACGGAGATTGGGGGGGATAGGGGCGAGCAAGGAGCGACCTGGCAGAAGGAGGAGGAGTGGGAGAAGCACTGGTAGGGATGATGGTGATGATGGTGGGGGTTGTGATGGTGATGATGCTGGTGATTGCAATGGGGATGACGAGGGGGAGGAAGAAGACGCAGAGGAGGAGGAGGATGAGGAGGATTGGGTGCTTGACAGTGCGGCTGCTGCTGCATCTGGCGGTGGGAGTGAGAGCACAGAGGGGTCGCTGCTCCAGGCCATTCCTCTGTCGATAGGGCAGCAGGAAGGGGAAGAGCATGGAGCTCTTGCTGTGGTGAGTGGGAAAGGGCAGTCAATAGTGCCTGAGGGGGCACAGGAGAGTGCTCAGGGAAAATCACAGCTGCCGGTGAAGCAGCAGGGGCACTTGGAAACGGCAAGGCAGCAGCAGCAGGGGAGGGAGCAGCAGCAGCAGAAGCAGTTGATGGTGCAGCGGGGGCAGCTGCCGTACTGCCGGATGCTACAGGGCGTGGAGCAGGGTCCCCTCATGTGTGTGCACAGGGATAGTGGAGAGGAAGGATCACAACTGGCACTTGCCTGCTGGCCAGAGGGCCAGTGCAGTGCTGAGGGGAAGTGCAGTTTTGAGAGTAAGGCTGAGGGGGTATGCAGTGGTGAAAGTGGGTGCAAGGTTAAGGGGGGATGTACACGGGGAAGTGCAGTAGCGGCAATTGCTGATGGGGGGGCACAGCAGGTAGAGGGAGGGCAGGCGGTTGCAGTGAGTGAAAAGCAGCCCCAGGCGGTGCAGCAGCAGCAGCAGCAGCAGCAGCAGCAGCAGCAGGAGAAAGGGCAGGCACAGGGACAGGTGGCAGTGAGACGCGAGAGTGGATTGGTGGAGGCGAGGAGGTGGGAGGGAAGGGACCCTGCGAAGGTGTGTTGGGAGGAGAGTGGTGAGAGGAGAGCAGTGGTTGAGCTGGCAGAGAGGATCACTCGAGAGGCCATCAAACGAGGCACTCTGGATAACGTGGCTGCTGTCGTGCTCAAGCTCTCACACTCACATTCACGCAGACACTCGCACACACACGCACCCTCGCGTGCACCCTCTTGTTCCTCCTGTCGCCATTCCCATTCAAGGTCGGAAGCCATTTCCCAACCACCCACAAACTCAGAAACTCGTGCCTGTAGCCGCCCCATCCACACCCACGCCCCACCCACCACCGTTGTACTGCTCTCTGCCTCCCACGCCCCACCCACCACCGTTGTACTGCTCTCTGCCTCCCACGCTACAGCTTCTGCAGCAACTCGTGAATTACCCATGACCCCTGCCTCAATGACCCCTGCCTCAATGACCCCTGCCTCAATGACCCCTGCCTCAATGACCCCTGCCTCAATGACCCCTGCCTCAATGACCCCTGCCTCAATGACCCCTGCCTCAATGACCCCTGCCTCAATGACCCCTGCCTCAATGACCCCTGCCTCAATGACCCCTGCCTCAATGACCCCTGCCTCAATGACCCCTGCCTCAATGACCCCTGCCTCAAGCACCCCTGCCTCAAGCACCCCTGTATCACAACCACACACACCCTCTCAGCCGCAGAGCAGTCAACCTCTGATGCCACCCGCCACTACCTCTGCATCCTTGCCTCCCAAGAACCTTGCTTCGATCTCTCACGGTCCTGGATCTCCAGAGCCTTCTTCTGTCTCTCACCGTCCGCATTCTCGACTCCTTGCACTGCAAGCAAGGCCCTCAGCTTCTGAGGCGCCTCAAAACTCGTCTCCACACCTCGCCTTGCAAACAAGTTCCTCCACAGCTCCATTATTGGTGGTGCCAGTGCAGCAGCAGGAGCCCACTCTGCCCTCTGAGGCACCTTCACAGCATGCGAATGCAAACCACCCAGCAGCATCCAGCATCATCCCCACCGCTCATTGCTACGAGCTGCTCAAGCCCCTTCCGGTTGCTGCTGCTGCGTCTCGCCCCTCCCTGGTGCCTCTTCGGCGTGACCGCGCCTGGCAGAAGTCTCCTCAGTACCTCGATGCTGGTCCCAGAACAGGGCGTGTTAGGGAGGCTCAGCATAGCCCAGCCCTTCCTGCTGCTGATGCTGCTGCGTCTCGCCCCTCCCTTGTGCCTCTTTGGCGTGACCGCGCCTGGCAGAAGCCTCCTCAGTACCTCGATGCTGGTCCCAGAACAGGGCATGTTACAGAGGCTCAGTATGGCCCTGCCCTACCTGCTGCCTCCTCCTCCCATCCCAAACCTGTAGCAGGCAGTACTGCAGCGGCTGTGTCTGCTTCTGTTGTTCCAACCGTGAACAACCAGAAGAGCAGCAGCAGCAGCAGCAGCAGCAGCAGGGATGGTGATGGTATGATTGATGCTGCAAGAAAGATTAGGGTGCAAGAGATGGTGCAAGGTTTTGACCAGCAAGGTTTGGACCAATCAGCTGAACCCAGTCCGCCTGGCAGCCAGCTGGCAGCTCTCGGTGAGTGCTCAACTCCCCTTGCACGTTTGCATGACGCCTGCCTGTGCCACGTCAGCGTTTATATATACATATATATATATATATATTTGGGAAGGATAAAAGGTCAATTTGATGGTGTTGTGTCGCCTTCTCTCTGTTGCCTGCTCATCTGCCTCCTCCAAATCTTTGCCTCAGGAGCACGGGCCGTCATGGAGGCCTTTCAGTGCCTGCTCATCTGGCCCCCGTTACAGTCACACTCCTCGTCAACCCGCGCCACCTCTTCCAATGACCATCACACCGCTTTGCACTCTTCAAAATCCCTTCAACCGCTGGGACACCCTCTGGCGCATTCACAGCATCAAAACCCACCCCAGGACCATATTCCTCCTCAGAATAAAGTCTCAGCTCGAAATCGTATACTATCTGAGAATCGAATCCTACCCCACATTTCCACGCAAGAAGACACACTCTCTTCCTCCCAAGCTCTTCAGCCCCTTGCTCACTCTCCCCTCTCGCGTTTCTCCCACTCCCTCACACACTCTCCTCTCACACTCCCTTTTGAATTTTCACACTCCAAACCAACTCCCAAGCCACTTCTCCTACCATCCACAAGCGTCGCGATCCCCGCACCTCTTGGTCTGGTTCGGTTCCTGAACCTGCTAGGCTCGGTGCCGCTGCTCCTGCCAGGCCTCCCTCACAAGAGTGACACATGGATTGGAAAGGAGCGGGGAGGGAGAGAAACTTTGGTGGTTGGGGGACGGGTGGAGGATAGGGGGGTGGTGAATGAAGGGAGTGTCAAGAAGGTTATCGAGGAAAAGGAGGAGATGGGGGAGGGGGGTTTGAAGGAAGAGAGAGGTGTGGAAGGGGACGAATGGGGGGATGTTGATGTGGCAGACGGCGATTGGACGAAGCACCAGATGGGATTTATGCAGCGCAGGTAAGTCAATGACTGTTGCTGCCCTAGAAACGCCTTTCTTTCCTGCTCATGGTTTTATGCACTCACATCACATGGGGTAATGAAATTTGATGGCTTAACAACTAGGTCACATAATTCATCAAATCACATGGTTCTATGACCACACATGGTTATATAAGATTGTAACAAACTCCTACTATGTTTCAACATTGTTTCCTCTTGGTCCTCCCCCAGCCTCTTCTCAATTTCCTTTCTTTCTCAAAAGCTTGTTGCTTGTTCCCTTCTGTCACTTCACCCCTCTCCCAGGTACGTGCTACAGAAGAATTTCGCCAGGGGGGGATTCGGAGAGGTGTGGCTGGCTGTGAGGAGGGACCCTTGCCACCGGCCCTCCAGTTCCCGGCGGCCCTCCAGTTCCCGGCGGCCCTCCAGTTCCCGGCTGCCCTCCCGGCTGCCCTCCAGTTCCCGGCTGCCCTCCAGTTCCCGGCTGCCCTCCAGTTCCCGGCGGCCCTCCAGTTCCCGGCTGCCCTCCAGTTCCCGGCTGCCCTCCAGTTCCCGGCTGCCCTCCAGTTCCCGGCTGCCCTCCAGTTCCCGGCTGCCCTCCAGTTCCCGGCTGCCCTCCAGTTCCCGGCTGCCCTCCAGTTCCCGGCTGCCCTCCAGTTCCCGGCTGCCCTCCAGTTCCCGGCTGCCCTCCAGTTCCCGGCTGCCCTCCAGTTCCCGGCTGCCCTCCAGTTCCCGGCTGCCCTCCAGTTCCCGGCTGCCCTCCAGTTCCCGGCTGCCCTCCAGTTCCCGGCTGCCCTCCAGTTCCCGGCTGCCCTCCAGTTCCCGGCGGCCCTCCAGTTCCCGGCTGCCCTCCAGTTCCCGGCTGCCCTCCAGTTCCCGGCTGCCCTCCAGTTCCCGGCTGCCCTCCAGTTCCCGGCTGCCCTCCAGTTCCCGGCTGCCCTCCAGTTCCCGGCTGCCCTCCAGTTCCCGGCTGCCCTCCAGTTCCCGGCTGCCCTCCAGTTCCCGGCTGCCTGCACATCCCCCACCCACTGCTGCGAAAGCAGCAGTCAGTTTAGGAGCAGAAAGCTTATATGAATTATCTGGTCGAGACAGTGTTGCAGAACTTGAGAGGGCTCTTGGTGGGGGGGGAGATGAGACAGGTGAGCTTGTGAGGGAACATGAGGGATTGCAGGATTCAGAGTGGCAAGGAGAGGAACAGGTGGAGAGCGAGGAGGAGGAGGAGGAGGAGAAGGAGAGGGAAGGGTGGGAGGTGAAAGGGGAAGGGGAGGAGGTGAAAGAGGAAAGGGGGAAAGTGGAAGGGGAAGGGGAGGAGGAGGAAGAGGAGGAGGAGGAGGAACGGAAAGGGGAAGGGGAGGTGGGAGAGGAGGAAGAGGAGGAGAAGGAGGAAGAAGAGGTGGAAGCCCCACCACTGTTCGTGCTCAAGCGACTTCTGGTGAGTCAAACTGTGCCTTCTGCTATCACTAGTGCTTTTCAGTCTACTCAAGAACTCCAGTGATTATTTAAGTCGACTCGAAAACCCCAGTGCCTGCCACAGTCGCAGCACAGTGCAGGTGACTGGTGAGTCTGGTGAACCCTAAACCCCCAGTTACAGTCTGGTGAAACAGTGATCTTTGAGTCGACCTGCACGCTCACTGGGTGCGGGCCGCTGTGACGCTGCTCTCGGATCTGAAGGGCCAGGCACAAGGGAGAAGAGGGGTAGGGACATGGACATCATCATTCACTGCGTCTTCGTTTGGATATTTTGCCTTGCCTGGCCCGCCAGTCTCTTACATCCTTCCCCGTGCAGTGCAGCCATGCTCATCATCCCCACCCCACCCCGTGTTCCCTGCCCCTGTCCACTGCACTGTGCATCTTGGATACCTTCAGACAGGGGAGGATGGTTTGAGGTGAAATGTTCCCCCTAAACCTCGTCTTCTTTCTGCTTCCCCTTCTTCCTCTTCTTCCTCCCCTCCTGTCCACCACTGTGCGTGTTGGGTGGGTTCAGGCGGGGGAGGGGGCTCGACTGAGTGGGCTGCGAGAGAAGTACTTTGGGGAGATGCTCCTCAACGCGACCAATCTGGTGCTGCCACGTGGCACCCGTCGTCATGGCAGAGGCAACAAGATGGACAGTGCTATTCGTGCCGCTGAAGTTCTTGCGGGCAACGTGGATGGTGATGTGGATGCTGACGTGGATGCTGACGTGGATGCTGACGTGGATGATGATGTGGGCGATGACATGGACAGCAACGTGGTGGATGATGTGGAAGATGAACTGGTGGATGCGATGGGTCTGCATCATATCGCACGCTACGTGGAATCATTCGAAACCACTATTGCCAGTGGCGGCCTTGGCGCCGGTGGTAGCAGCGATACCCCCACCAGCAACGCCAGTGACAGCGGTAGCATTGATAACTCCACCACCAGTGGTGATGCTGATGCTGACGTTGGCGCAGTTGGCAATGAAGGGCGGAGAGAGGAGCAGCGGGAGGAGGCGAGCAAGGAGCAGAAGAAGGATTTGTGGCTGGTGTTTGTGCACGAGGGGGTGTCGCTCTCTTCCCTGCTGTACTCGAGTGATGCTGATGGGGAGGGAGGCGAAGAGAAGGAGGAAAAATCTGAGGAAGGAGGGCAGGAATGGGAGGGAACGGAACAAGAGGGGGGAGAGAAAGGAGTCGGGGGAAACGAGAAGAGCGGGCAGCCGCAGGCGAGTGGGGAGCATGTAAGTGGGCAGCAGCAGCAGGCAAAGAGCGGGCAGCACAGCATGATGAGGCCGTCAAGGTGGTGGCGATGGCTGCGCTCCACAGAGGAGGGCGAGGAGACAGTGAGGAGCATCCTGAGACAGACGGTGAGAGAGCACAATAGCCCATGCCCGTCATCTCCTTCCTTCAAAAAAGGGATGTCTTTATAACAGGCTGCGCAGGGAGATGTAGTGAATGTTTACCCGTTTCCCTCTCCTTGTTCCCATTGTACCCCCTTCTTCTCTCCTCGTTCGCCTCTTCCTCTTTCCGTTCCTCCTCGCTACGCTCTCGCTTTCTGTCCCCTCTCCCTCTTACCCCTGTTGTCTGTGCTCCAGCTGCTGGGGCTTGCTGCATTGCAGTGGCTCACTATGTGAAGTTTGAGTCGATTCTAATCCAATCTCACCCCGTTCTCTCTCCACCTCGCCCTTCTTCTATGAGTTGTAGCTGCTGGGACTGGCTGCCTTGCAAGCGCGCAACATAACCCACCGGGATATCAAGCCAGGTACGCCACTGTTTCCCAGGAAGCTTTGCTATCTGACTGCCCAAGCACTTGTCCAGTGCAGCAGTCTTACCCCAGTTGTGGGAACGAAAACTGGAGGACAATTCCAAGAAGATGCGTTTTTTATGAATCAGCTCAAGGGCTGTTCACAATCAGCACACAACAGTTTTATCCCACCCATCACTTGTATTCACCAACAGAGAACATCATTCTGAAGCTTCAGCCCAAGGGGGCGAGCAGGGGGTCAGAGCCCGATCACTCCCCGGGAGCCAAGGGGAAGCATGCAGGGAGGCCGGCAGGGAGACGGGCAGGGAGACGGGCAGGGAGACGGGCACCATCTGCATCTGCCCGTGACTCCTCCTCCTCACCGTCAGCAGCAGTAGGAGAGGCGCCAGCAGCGGAAGCAGTAGCAACAGGAGCAACAGGAGGAACCTCGTCGTCAGCCAATGACAGTGCAACACGTGGCAATGCTTCCGCGGAAAACCCGCTGCCGGATTTCAATGCTGACATGCACGTGTGAGTGGGGTGGGTATACAAGGATGCGATACAAGGATGAACTCTGGGAGCCGCAAACTCTGGATGAACTCTTGCACGACACCACAGGAATCTGAAGGACTTTTCAGGCGCCTAGAAGGTATACTGCTAGCTTGTAGCATGTTCTTCTCGGTGAACTCCTCCACCCAGACCCCTGAACCCTCGCCACGAGATACTGCTAGCATGTAGACTAGAGCACCATATGAGAACAAGTCTTTTCTTTTCTTTTCTTGAGACGTCACAAAACTAAATGATCATCTCATTAAACAACACGGTGAGCATGCAGACTAGACCTCAGTCCAGTGACCCATCTGGTCCTCGTTTCGAGCACCACCCGTCCCGTCCAGTCCTCGTCATTATCAATCTCCTCCTTCATCTCACTCCTCTCCCCCCGTCTCATCTTTCCCCTTTCCCGCTCGTTCCTCGTTTCTCCTTCTCTGTCCTCTCCTCTCTTGAACTAAGCCTTCAGCAACTGTCTCTTTGACCTGGTCTCAGTCATTGCTGTTGATGTTTCCAGGCGATGACCTGGGCTTAATTGGTAGCTCAATGAGGTCTATTTTGAGGCGCCTCAAAATACGTCTCAGGCATTGCCGATGATGTTTCTAGGCAATGACCTGGGCTCAATTGAAGCTTGTCTCCGCCCTCCTTCCCTCACACGCCCCAATCCCTTCCCGCCCATCCCGTCAGGCGTGTGCTTGACCTGGGTTCAGCTGTTGATCCGCACTCTGTTCGCTTCCTCTACGGCCCAACAGGGCCCTCCAGGTAACGCCTCCCGCTCCATCTAAGACCTCCCTGTCCAGGTAACACCTCCCGCTCCATCTAAGACCTCCCTGTCCAGGTAACACCTCCCTCTCCATCTAATACCTCCCTGTCCAGGTAACACCTCCCTCTCCATCTAATACCTCCCTGTCCAGGTAACACCTCCCGCTCCATCTAAGACCTCCCTGTCCAGGTAACACCTCCCGCTCCATCTAAGACCTCCCTGTCCAGGTAACACCTCCCGCTCCATCTAAGACCTCCCTGTCCAGGTAACGTCTCTCAGTGCATGCAGAATGTTCCTGTCTGGATCAGCCTTCAGTGTGTTGGAATGACTTTTGAGTCAATTTTGAACTAATATTATACACAGCGCCCCAAGAGTTTCCCTACAGGCAAAATGCATTTTTAGTGCGCCTACATTCCGTCGTTCTACTCGCCCTCCGAGGTACTGTCGCTGGCACAGAGCGGAGTCTTCTTGAGACATTCTAACAACCCGCCTGCCTGCCCGTCCCTTTCCCCGAGGTGCAGCGCAGAGGAAACAGAGCTCTACTCGCCTCCCGAAGTGCTGCTGCTGCCGCAGAGCCTCCCCAGTGCTGGAGATCCAGGGGAAGGAGCGGACGCATCCGGAGAAGCAGGGGCAGCAGCAGGGGGAGGTGCGACTGGGGGAGGCGCATCTGGGGGAGGTGTTGACTGCACGAAGAACAGCTCCAGCAGCAGCTGCTTCCACATCAACAGCCGCATGCACTACGGGTATGTGTTAAACACTCAGCGCGACTTTTGAGGTGCCTCAAAAGGCTTCCACATCAGCAGCCGCATGCACTACGTGATAGAATTGGAACTGAACTGATTGCTTGATAAGGAAGGCACTAGGCCTTAAGTACAAACAGGGTTGGGTTGAGCAAAGCTAGGGAAAGGATGGGATGGGAATCCTAGCAAATCTCCAATTGGTGAGGTGGCAGATTTGCAGGATTACGAGGGAATCCCAACCAGATAGGGTTGGGATTACAAATCTACACCCAACCTACAAAGTAACCTAACCGATATAGAAAATAGTACAAAGTGTTGACTGACTATTTCTAACACACCCCCTAGGCTGACAACACTTCAGCCACATGGCGGCCCAACACCCATGGACGAGAGGAGGCGGTAGTGGTCTTGGCGAACAAGAGACTTGGTAAACAAGTCAGCAAGGTTGCAGTCGGAGGCAATGTGTTCAGCCTTCAGCTGCTCGCGCTGCACCAGCTCACGAAGAAAGTAGTGACGGACCTCAATGTGCTTGGTGCGGCCGTGGAAGACGGGGTCCTTTGTGAGATGAATGGTGCTCTCGTTGTCACACCAAAGCGTTGGGGCTGGTTGAGGATACCCAAGTTCTGCCAGCAAGAAGGAGAGCCAACGGGCCTCTTGGGCAGCCATGGTCCCGGCATACAGCTCTGCCTCACAGGTCGACAGTGAGACGGAAGACGACCGAGTGGAGCGCCAACTGACAACCCCACTGCCAAGGGTAAAGCAATATCCTTGGGAAGAGCGCCGATCACTCTGGTCATCAGCATAGGACGAGTCACTGTACCCCTCAAGGCGAACAGGGGAAGAGCCGCCAAGAGTGAGCACATAGTCCTGTGTGCCTTTGAGATAGCGGAGGACCCGCTTGGCGGCAGACCAGTGGTGGCTCGTGAAGCGACCAGGTGCAACGTGCGAGACAGGACACTGACTGGATAGGCCAAATCTGGTCGAGTGCACATCATCGCGTACATGAGGGAACCGACGAGCTCGGGGTAAGCCTCATCACAGGGCTCAGGTGAGGGAACAGAGGGTGCAGTGAGTTGGTGCTGCAGAGAGAGTGGGGTGGGCATTGAAGCTGCTTCCTGCATCTTAAACCTGGTCAGAACGTTGTTGATGTAGAACTTCTGCGAGAGGGTGATGGTGCGGGCCGTGCGATCACGTGTGATTTCCATGCCCAGATAGTTCGTCAGTTTCCCAAGATCCTCCATAGCCAGCTTCTCACCAAGTGCGGTTTTGACTGCTGCCAGCTCAGTCTGATCCTTGGTGACAAGGATCATGTCATCGACATAAACCAAGATGAAGAAGCGGGATGGTGTTGCTCGGATGAAGAGGCTGGGGTCAGAGGTGGATGGGTGAAAGTCGAGGGACCCTAAGGTGCTCTTGAGCTTGTTGTGCCATTCCCGGGGTGCTTGCTTGAGGCCATAGACTGGTCGATTCAGCTTCCATACAGTGCCTGGTGGAAAAGGAGTTGGAAATCCTTCGGGCCGCTCCATGTAGATTTCCTCTCGAAGGATCCCTTGCAGAAACGCAGAGGACACATCCATGCAGTCAACCTCCATGTCATCTCGAGCGGCAACATCGAGAAGGGTGCGCAGTGTGGGAGGTTTGGCGGTGGGAGAGAATGTCTCAAAGAAGTCCAGTCCATGCTTTTGGGTAAATCCCTTGGCACAGTACCGGGCTTTGAAGACGGGAAATTCGCCTGGAAGTTGTTTCACCCGGAAAACCCATTTTCCCTTCACAATGTTGACGCCGAAGGGAGGAGAGACATCTGTGAAAGTTCCTGTGTGAATGAAGGCCTCACACTTTGCGACAATGGCCCCTAGCCACTGAGCGGCGTGAGGACCAGAAACTGCTTCAACATAGGTGAGAGGTGTGGGGATGGAGGGGTTGTCCGAGAAGTTGAGGGTGGGAGATTCTGCGATATCTGGAAAGAGGGAGCAGAGTGCGTGTATGGCTGAGTCAATCTCAATCAACTCCTCATGTCTGTCCTCAAGAAGGGAGGGCATGAGCGAATAATCACCCCCGACAGGAGGAGGATTGAGAGAGACACGAATGGAAAGGGAAAGAGGCTTGGGAGCTTTGCGCGAGCGGGTGCGACCAGCGATGGGGGAGGGAGGCGGAGCTGGAGGAGGAGAAGCAGCAGGTGTAGTGGCAGCATCAGGAACAGCAGGTGGATCAGGAGTAGGAGCTGGATCAGGAGGAGGAGCAGCAGCAGGAGGACGGCGTTGGTAGGTTTTGAGAGGAATGGGCTCGGGGGCGGGAAGGAGCGGGGGAGACTGTGTGGTGCTGGAAGGGGAAGCGGGTGACGGGGGGTCAGAAACTGTGGAGGGAGCGGGAAGAGGAGGAGATGGAGTAGTGGCAGGAGGAAGGCTGTCAAAGTCAGCCCAAGTAAGAGAAGGAGGCGGAGGAGAAGGAGAAACTGTGGAGGAGGGGTAGAACGGGTGGGATTCATCGAAGAAAACATCTCGGCTGCGATAAAGTTTGTTGGTGGTAGGATGGAGGAAGAGGTAGTCTGGCGAGTCCGAGTTGTGCCCGAGGTACACGCACGTGATTGTTTTCGGAGCAAGCTTGCCGCCAGCTGCACGACGGGCTTGGGAGTTGAGGAGAACATAGGAAGTGCACCCCCATACACGAAGAGGGCGGACGGACGGCTTTTGACCCGTCCACAGCTCTGCGGGGGTGGTGTGGGTGTGGTGAGGATGAGGATGGAGATTGTGGAGGGCGGCAGCATGGAGCATGGCGTATCCCCAAAGAGAGGGAGGGGCGGAAGCATGAGTGAGGAGGCAGCGAGCAATCTGCACCAGGATGCGGTTTCGGCTCTCAGCAACACCATTCTGTTGAGGGCTGTCTGGGAGGGTGAAGGTCTGACGAATACCCTCAGTAGAGCAGAAAGCTTTGAGAGTGTTGTTGCGGAATTCACTGCCACCGTCAGAGTGAAGAATCTTGATTTTGGTTTTGAAGTGTGAATGACCCTGCCTTGCCCATTCCATGATAATGGCTGGGGCTTCAGACTTGGCGGTGAGAAGGTGAACGGACACATAGCGGGAATAGTCATCAACGATGACAAGGAAGTAGAAGTGTCCGCCACGGGAACGAACAGGAGCTGGACCCCAAAGGTCCATGTGTACGCGATCAAGAGGTGCGGTAGAGGTGGACTCAGTGGGAGGATGGGGCTGTTCCCGAAGCTTGCTCTGTGCACAGTCAAGGCAAGGTGGTCCAGAAAGAGAGGGGGGTTGTGGAAGTGAGGCGGGCAACCCATGAAGGAGTTGTTTGGTGGCAAGGTCTGAAAGTGCGCGGAAGTTGATGTGGCCGAGGCGGTTATGAAATAGCATAGTCTTGTCATTGAGGAGACGGCAGTGACATGAGGGGGAGTCTGAGGATGGAAGCGGAAGGTTGGTGAGGGAGCATGTTTGAACGGGAGGTACAACTAGTGTGTACAGGTTGTTGGAGTTGAGGGTGAAGCGGGCAAGATGGAGTCCGGTTTTGGCGTCAAACATGTCACAATAGTCAACATCATTGGGAAAGATGGTGATCACGCCTGCGTGTTGGATTTCCCGCTGTGCAAGAAGGTTGTAGCGGAGGGTAGGGGCACAGATGCCAGTGACTGTGCCGGATGGGAAAGCTGGACAGGAAACTGTGGAGGACCCATGGCATTGGATGGAGAAGCTAGAATCGGCTCCAAGGAGTGAGGTGAGAGCCTGGTAGGGAACGAAGGCAGTTTGGTCTTTAAGCACTGTGTGGGTGGCACCACTGTCTAGTATGAACTCAATTCCCTGTGTGGTTGAAACACCGATGTACTGCGACCCCTTCTCATTAATAAGACCAGCACCAGAGAACAACAGGTTAAGGCGAACATCAGATGGGGCACTAGCAAATGCATGAGCAGGTTCCTCCACTGCCTCGACCTGGTTCACGCGACGGGGTGGTGCCCAGTTGGGAGGGCGCTTGTCCTTGGAGACACCGTGGACGTCATACCACTCGTCATCTCGCTTCTTGAAGCAAGTTGCCTCAGGGTGGTTGGTGCCGTTGCATTTCTGCCCCGCACGTGGACCCTTCCTAATGAGGTACTGGCATGGGGGAAAGGAGTTGCGCCTCTGGCCCTGCTGGGACCGAAATGGGATGCCAGGGGAGTAGCGCACAGCATTGACGGATGCCTGGGCTGCAAGGTCCTTTTCGGCAGAGAGAAGGGCCGAAGCAACTTTCTCGAAGGTGAGTTCCTTGGTGGGGAGCTGCTTGAGCATGGAACTGGTGACGTTGTAGGCCGGGGTGAGTCCGACGAGAAGCCCAGCAGCAGGTGCCTGTTCGGGGAAGGTGATCCCAATGTCCTTGAGCTCCTCATGGATGTTGCGGATTTCAGAGATGTAGTCTGCCATGCCCGGGCATTCCTCAAGGCGGATTTGGAACATGCGAGGAATGAGGATTGCAACTCCCACGGCAGTTTTGTCATGAAAACGATCCTGGAGGTACTTCCAAATGTCATGCGCAGAGCGGAAGGTGCGGTAGGACTTGACTAACTCGACTGGGGTGGTGGTGATGAAAGCCCTAATCACTGCCGCATCCGCCTGCTCCCAGAGACTGAAGTCCGTCTCATACTTGGTGGTTTTAGCGTCGAAAGCAAGCTTGGCTGTGGCAGTGGCGCCTTCGCCGAGAGGATCGGGAGGGAGAGGCATCTTCCCCTTGCCGCGATTGAGGAGGATGTCCTTGAGGCAAATCCCCTTGAGCTCCGAGCTAAGGAGGTGCTTCTCCACTCCATAGCACCACTCCCCGAAATTGGTGCTCGTGCCGTTGGGAGCGAGGTTAAGGATGATGAGGTTTCCGACGAGAGTGGAAGTTGAAGTTGCCATTTTGCGCGGAGCGCAGCGCTAAAGTCTTCGATACGTAGCGGAGCGAAGCGGAGCAGAGTTCGGGTGATTTTGGAAATCGAGGAAGTTCGAAACGCGATTTTGGCAATAGAATGCCCGTACTATACCCTGATATACTGCTTCGCCAATGCCCCCTGTTCTGCTTCGCTGCTGCCCCTGTTCCGCTTCTCTGCTGCGCCGCTGACCTGTTCTGCTGCGCCGCTGACCTGTTCTGCTGCGCCGCTGGACCTGTTCTGCTGCGCCGCTGAACCTGTTCTGCTGCGCCGCTGAACCTATTCCGCTGCGCCGCTGAACCTGTTCCGCTGCGCTGCTGAACCTGTTCCGCTGCGCCGCTGAACCTGTTCCGCTGCGCCGCTGAACCTGTTCCGCTGCGCCGCTGAAAACCTGTTCCGCTGCGCCGCTGGACCTGTTCCGCTGCGCCGCTGAAAACCTGTTCCGCTGCGCCGCTGGACCTGTTCCGCTGCGCCGCTGAAAACCTGTTTGAAGTTAAGAAGATGCGAAAATTGCCACGGAGATATATAAACTAGAAGCTTACGATGAAGGAAGTCGAAAGCTGAGAATGTCGCCGTTGAAAAACGAGATGCGCGATGAAGGAAGCCGAATGCGCGCTTGAACTGAGCGACGATGTGAAGTTTCTGAAAAACGCTTAGCGTAGGAGCCGGGAACCGAAATAGGCATAGCCTAAAAGGAGAGAACCATCGGGACGCCAAGGATCGGATTCCGCGTGAGCGGAATTTACTAGCTCTGATACCATGATAGAATTGGAACTGAACTGATTGCTTGATAAGGAAGGCACTAGGCCTTAAGTACAAACAGGGTTGGGTTGAGCAAAGCTAGGGAAAGGATGGGATGGGAATCCTAGCAAATCTCCAATTGGTGAGGTGACAGATTTGCAGGATTACGAGGGAATCCCAACCAGATAGGGTTGGGATTACAAATCTACACCCAACCTACAAAGTAACCTAACCGATATAGAATATAGTACAAAGTGTTGACTGACTATTTCTAACACTACGGGTACGCGTGAAACACTTCGACTCTCCCATTCGTCCGCTAATCTACGCAGCAACGACATGTGGAGTGTGGGGGTGCTAATGCTGGAGCTCCTATTTGACATGTACAACGCATCTGTTTCTCCCCACCTCCCTCCCCCCACCCCTCCTCCCCACCTGCACAGCAACGACATGTGGAGTGTGGGAGTGCTCATGCTGGAGCAATGACAATCACCTCTGTGATGCAGCATATCCTCCCTTATTCCACTCCTCCTCTTTGAAGAAGTGTTTTGAGACGTCTCAAAGCAATGACTGTCACCTCTGTGATGCAGCATATCCTCCCTTATTCCACTCCTCTTCCTTTCCCCTTACCTCCTCCCGTCCCCACCGGCACAGCTACGACATGTGGAGTGTGGGGGTGCTAATGCTGGAGCTTCTCTTTGGCTCGCCGCACGTCTGGTCTCTCCCCCCTCGCACCCAGGTATTTCCATATGCCCCTCAAAAGCCATAGCCTCTCAACGCTCACACTCAGGCAACGGTAATTTCTTATGCAACTCAAAAGACCTTCCTCCGTTCCCCCCTATTGCATCACAATAAGCGAAGCCCTCCTCTCTCATCCCTCGCACTAAGCTAAGCCCTCAACCCATCACACACTACCTTTCTGGTCCCCTCCTCGGCATGCTTTTGAGTCGACTCAAAAGTCACCTCCTCCTCGGAATGCTCTTGGCCTGAAAGGCTTCCCTTAGTCCGCTTACCAAAACACTTACTGCCCAAAATGAGGACAATGCCTCATCATTTCCCTCTCCTCTCTCCCCCTCTACCCCACTCATGCTCTCCGCTGCCTCTCCAACCCGTCCTCCCCCAGGCGCTGCTAGATCGTTCCCTGCAAGCAGCCCAATGGCCCGAGTCCACCCGGCGAACAGCCTTCCTGTAAGAATCCGATATTCCATCCCTCCTGTACGGCTGCATTTTCTTCACTGTGAGGCAATTTAAGAAATTCTTTTTTTTTATTTATACCGACTTTATTTTAATTTTGGCAATTTTTGCTTGTATTATTTATGCTATAACTTCTTGAAAAACTCCTAAAGAAATTTTTGAATTAATACTAGAAATATAAAAAGTCATAATTTCTGGTACATCTAAAAAAAATAAACGAAAGTCTTCTTTATCTTAAGAATTTCCTCCTGTGTTTTAATTCGTTTCCTCCTGTCTTTTCTGCACTTGTCCTGATTCTCTCTCACGCTCTCACTCCCAGTCTCCGCCCTCACTCCCCCATTCGCCGCCCTCACTCCCCTTCCCCGCCCCGCCTTCACCCCCTTTGTCCGCCCCCAATCCCATGCTCTTTTCACCCCAGCTTGCGTGCGTGGATGGAGCTCTGCACCTTCTTCACTCCTGATCACCCCACTGTGTTCAAGTCCGGGGGCCTTAAAGTCAAGGCACCTCACTGCTCTCAGTCCCTTGTTGGCTCCCCGCACTCCCCTCTCCCAACCACCCCAGCTTGCATGCGTGGATGGAGCTCTGCACCTTCTTCACTCCTGATCACCCCACTGTGTTCAAGTCCGGGGGCCTTAAAGTCAAGGCACCTCACTGCTCTCAGTCCCTTGTTGGCTCCCCGCACTCCCCTCTCCCAACCACCCCAGCTTGCGTGCGTGGATGGAGCTCTGCACCTTCTTCACTCCTGATCACCCCACTGTGTTCAAGGCCGGGGGCATAAAGGCTTTCAAATACCGGGTTCTTTTTCTTATCCCCCTCACCCACCCCCCCCAGCTTGCGTGCGTGGATGGAGCTCTGCATCTTCACGCCTGCAGTCTTTGAAGCGGCGCCAAGCGAGGGGGCTTCTGCAGCAGGGGAGGAGGAGGAGCCATCTGTAGCAGCACACGAGGATGCGCCGTTTGTAGCAGGGGAGAAGGAACGGCCATCTGTAGCACATAAAGAGGAGGGGACTCCTGTAGCTGGAGAAGAGGAGGGGGAGGTGAGGAAGGAGGAGGGTATAGAGGCCGGGGGAGCCGTGAAGAGCAGGGGTGTGGGTGACTTACTGAGGCTGAGCCAGCCCCATGTGGAGCATGCCCATCCCCAGGGATGGTCTGTAGCTGGTGCCCACCCTCTGGGAGTGGCTGCATCTAGCACAGCCAGTGACAAGGGCCGCACTGCTGAGAGCAGCAGCGGCAGCGGCAGCGGCAGTGGCGAAGAGGGCGATGCCTACAGTGCGGCTGGAGAGGAGAGCGAGATTAGGCAGGGCGATGACCGGGTGCGTGGTGGTGGTACTGCTGCTTCTGGTAGCAGCAGCAGTGCTAGTGGCCGTGGCAGCAGCAACAGCAGAGGCAGCAGTAGCACAGACAGCAGCAGCAGCAGCAGCAGCAGCAGCAGCAGCAGCAGCAGCAGCAGCAGCAGCAGCAGCAGCAGCAGCACTGGTGGTGGTGGTGGCAGCAGCAGTGGTGCAGGGGGGTGGAGTGTGGTTGCGCCGTGGGAGTGCAGCGAAGCAAGCATTGCCGCACAGCTGAAGTTGAGGGACCCGCTCAAGAAAGGGTAAGAGCACACAAGACCCTTCGCTATATCGCACAGAGGGATACTGGTTACCAGCCCAAGTGACTTCTGAGCCTATTTAGAAGTCATTGCCGCACGGCTGAAGGTGAGAGATTCGCTTCAGAAAGGGTAAGACCACACGAGACCCCTCAATTGATTATATAAACAAATCCAGTTACCAACACGAGGCTAGTATAGTCAGTGCCTTCTCAACTCACGTCCCTCTGGACTGCACGGATGGAATCTTTTCGATGTCCTGCTGTCGTCACGCACACCTCCTGGTCCTCCGAACCTCTACTTGATTTTTTAGTCGACTTAAAACACGTTCTTCTGGACTGCATGTATGGAATCTTTCCCATGTCCCTTCGTCGTCACACACACCTCCTGGTCCTCCCACCCTATACTTGTTCCCTCCACTCCATTTCCTTACCTCATGTGCCATTTCTGTCAGAATCTAGTAGCAGGAATGAATGAACTATGAAAGGGTTGGGTACAAGTATGAAACCCTAAAAAGGGTTGTACCCCATATTGGCTACCCCACTACAGCCTAAACACATATAGCATATATATATACTTTGACACACCCCCATAGGCAAAGTGGGGGAGAGCAAGGGGTCACAAGACCAGTCAAGAGAAGCAAAGCAAGCTCAGGGTGGATCACAACGTCACCACACACACTGAGCACAAGCAAAGGGCCACAAGGTCAGTTCACATGCAGAGGTATATATGCAAAAGCATCAGTACAGTGATCTCTACCTAGCAGAACAAGCATGCAGGTATATATATATGGATCACAGTACAAGCAAAGTCTACAGCAAGTGAGGAAAAGTGGGCACAAGGCCTAACAAAGTGCAGAAACGCTGATGATCACCAAACGGAAGTGCCTTAGTGAATATATCAGCAGTGTTGGCCCGAGTGGCCACGTGAGCAAGACGAAGCTGACCACGCTGCTGCAACTCTCGAGCAAGGAAGTAACGCAGAGCGATGTGCTTCGTTCTGTGCTCCAGTCTGTGCTCCTGACACAAGGCAATGGTGGTCTTGTTGTCGACGTATAGCACTGGAGGAGAACGAGGCCGCTCTCCCAGGTCGGTCAGCAGGTAGGTAAACCAGCGTAACTCCTGTGCAGCCATGGCTGTGGCGTAGATCTCAGCCTCACAACTGGAACTGAGAACTGAAGACGAGCGTGTAGAACGTCAAGAAACTGAACCAGAGCCAAGGCTGAACGTGTAACCCTGTGGCGACCGCTGTGTAGCCTGGTCGTCAACCCAAGAAACGTCTGAGTGACCAGTGAGGACAACGTCGCTCCGTCCTCCAAGCACGAGCCCCATGCCCGATGTACTGCACAAGTATCGTAGTACCCTCTTAGCAGCATCCATGTGCACCTTTCGGTGCCGACCAGGAGCCACGTAGCGAGCAAGAAAGCCAAGAGGGTACGCAAGGTCAGGACGAGTGCAGGTCATCAGGTACATGAGACAGCCCACTAGCTCTGGGTAAGGACCACTCGGCTCTACGGACTCGTCCGAATGTGGAGCTGAGAGCGAGTGACCTGTCGCCAGAGGAGTGGCCTGTGCCGAGGACCAGGTGAAGTTGAAGCGCTGAAAGACCTGCTGCACCATGTGTGACTGAGTTAGTGTGATGGTGCGGCGTGCTCTGTCTCGGGTGATCTGCAAGCCAAGATAGCTACTCAGCTCACCCGGGTCTGTGCACGTGTGTCTCTTCTGCAGCTCCGACTTCACCAGGGCGAGAGCCTCAGTGTCGGCAGTGGCAAAGACCAAGTCGTCGACGTACACGAGGATGTAGAACGGCGGCAGCGAAGTGTCGGTGCGCAGAAACAGCGACGGGTCAGCAGTCGACGGAGCAAACCCAAGAGCCGCAAGTGTAGTCCTCAGTGTGTCGTGCCACTCACGCGGCGCCTGGCGGAGACCGTAGACTGGCCGCCAGAGGCTCCACTGGGTAACAGGAGGGAACGACCCGGTAAAGCCAGGTGGGCGGCGCAGCCAGATCTCCTCTTGCAGGCTGCCCTGTAAGAAGGCTGTGCTGAACTCAAGAGAGTGAAGCTCGTAGTCACGCTGAGCGGCAACGTGCAGCAGCACCCGAAGAGTGGTCATCTTCGGGGTGGGAGAGAAGGTCTGGAAGAAGTCGACTCCCTTCCGCTGACTGAAGCCTCGAGCAACGTAACGAGTCTTGAAGACAGGCGGAGAACCTGGCGGCCGCTTCACCCTGAAAATCCACATGCCACTGACGATGTTCGCCCAAGGAGGGGGGACCTCGTCGACGTAGGTGCCTGTGGACTTCCAGGATGCCATCTCTGCGTCCATGGCTGTCTGCCACTTAGAGGAGTACTCACCCGCGATCGCCTCAGCGTAAGAGCGCGGGGTCGGGATGCCTGGAGCATCCGGGTCTCCCTCAGAGGCAAGCAGCATGGACACGAGATGAGGCGCAGCGGCTGCAAGACACTAAAGGTCCTCCTGCCTGTCCTCAAGGACGTCCGTGCTAAGAGCACACTCACCCCCGACGGACGGAGGACAGACAAACTCAGACTCAGCAACCAGACTAGCGGCGTAGTCTAGACGACAGGCAGCAGCAAAGTCGACAAACTCAGCGACTAAGGCAGACGCAGCAGTAGACTCAAACGACGGGTCAGTGACAATTGTGGCGAGCAGACGCGTGACAGTAGGGTGAGCAGCACAGGTGCGGTCAGTCTCAGGCTCAGGAATGGTAGGCAGAGAAGACGCAGGAGGGGACGGCAGGGGAACGCGCTGCGGAGGAGAGGAAGGACGACGGACTATGAGGTGGGTGCCGGTGACAGCCGGCTGACGCGAACGAGGAACACGACGACCGGAATGACCAGAACGGACAGGCGAGACAGGACGCGACGCAGGCTCACGACGCTCAGTAAGACCCCCTGTCTGCTCAGTGTAAGGAGAAGGAGCAGGCAGGCAGCGGTGAGCCAGGCTGTAACGAAAGACCAGTAGACGAAGGGGGACTAAGAACCTGGCGAAGCATAGAGTCAGACGGTGGCTGAGACGACGGAGACGGTGGAGCAAAGAACAGGCGGGGCTGTGCAGTGCCACCAGCACCAGCAGCTCCAGCACCCCCAGCAGCTCCAGCAGCTCCAGCACCCCCAGCAGCTCCAGCAGCTCCAGAATCCTCAGCGGCAGCTCCTCCAGGACTAGCTCCACCAGCAGCAGCACCCCCAAAACCGGCACCTCCAGTCCCAGGGTCTCCAGTCTCAGTGTCTCCAGCAGCAGCACCCCCAAACCCAAGGTCTCCAGCAGTAGCACCCTCAGGCTCAGCACCTCTAGCCCCAGCAGCTCCAGTACCTCCAGTACAAGCACCTCCGGGACCAGCACCACTCCCAGCTCCAGTAACGTCAGCAGAAGTACCTCCAGCGGCAGAGCCCCGAGCTCCAGAAGTACGACCCTGACGGCGACCGTACCAGTCGTGCAGCTGCTGTGAGGTGAGAGGCACACGCGGACGAAGGCGGCTACTCCAAGGAGACCGCGCAACAGAAGACTCAGAACCCTCAGCGTCAGCACCCACAGCAGCTCCAGAACCTCCAGCGCCAGCACCCGCAGCAGCTCCAGAACCTCCAGCTCCAGAACCTCCAGCTCCAGTACCACCAGAAGCTCCCGAACCTCCAGCTCCAGCACCCTCAGCAGCTCCAAAACCTCCAGCAGAAACAACTCCAGTAGCAGAGTCACCAGCTCCAGCGCCTCCCGCAGCAGGGCCCCTAGCTCCAGCAGCGCGACCCTGACGGCCAGCGTACCACTCACACAGCTGCTGTGGGGAGAGAGGGAGTCAACGACGAGAGCGCAGCGGCGAGGCACCAGCGGAGCGACTACGCAGACGGCCGCTCCAGGGAGACTGCTCACCAGACGCCTCAGCACCTCCAGGTGCAGCACCCCCAGACTCAGTACCCCTAGGCACAGCACCCCCAGACTCCTCACACCCAGGCTCAGCACCTCCAGTCTCCGCACCCCCAGGCTCCGCACCTCCAGGCTCCGCACCCCCAGGCTCAGCACCCCCAGGCTCAGCACCCCCAGGCTCCACACCCCAAGGCTCAGCACCCCCAGAAGCAGCACCCCGAGCAGGACCACCCTCAGCAGGACCTGAGTCACCAGTGACCTCAACCGGCGCAGTCAAGGGGGGAGGGTCTACCTGAGACACACCTGAAGGAGCAGGACCGGGAGCGGGGAGGGGGTCTACCTGGGGAGCACCTGGAGCGAGGAAGAGCGGCGAGGGGGGGAGAGGGGCAGTGTGGTAGGGGAAGAGACGGTAAAAGGGAACCGACTCGTCGAACGTGACGTCCTGAGAGGGGAAGAGACGGCGCCAGGTGGGGTGGTAAAACTGCCAACCAGGCGCGTCAGGGACAAAGCCAAGGAAGACACAGGGAACAGCGCAGGCGGAGAGCTTGTCCGCGGTGGTATCGCGGACAAAAGCACGAGCACCCCAGACCCGGAAACGCGACGCATCGTCATCCTTCCCCGTCCACAGCAGTGTGGGCGAGGTCTCCGGCAAAGAGACACGAGGCCAGAGGTTGAGCTGATGCGCGGCGTACCGGACCGCAAACGGCCACAGAAAATGGGGGGCAGCCGCATGGATCATGGACGTACGAGCGACCTCCATGACTAAGCCAATGCGGCGCTCAGCAACCCCATTCTGCTGCGGAAAGGCCGGAAGCGTGAACGTCTGGCGGATGCCGTGCTCCGCACAGAAGGCTGCCAAGAGGTCTGAGGAGAACTCACCACCTCTGTCAGAGTGCAGACGCAGGACAGGAAAGTCCGATTGGAATCGCTCGCGGAGCTGGAGACGAACAGCGCGGATCCAGAGGATCAAAACATCAGGGACATCCCCCTTGCGCTGTAAGGGGAAGACCGTGGTGTAACGCGTGTAGCCGTCGACGACCAGCAGGAAGTACCGCTCGTGGCCCGGTCCACGGACGCGGGCTGGGCCCCACACGCCCAGGTGGAGAGTCTGCAGGAGAGCCTCTGTGGGAGGGA